TCAACCATGGCCCTGACCACCTCCTTCTCTGACGTGCAGGTCGTATGTCTGTGACCGAGATGAGTCTCAGTGACCCCGAAAGCGCAGGGAACCATCAGGTGGGTGTGGGAAGTTAGAGCTGTCTCGGGTGGTGTGTCAGGGTTTAACGTAAGGAGCAGGGCAGGCAGGCTGCTCAGAACCTGGGGAGCAGGTGCAGGCCCAGCGCTGAGACCCAGGAAACGCTGTCCGGCTCTGCTCCCAGGCAGTGCTGGGGCTGCATCTTGGAACATACTCTGTGCGAAGAGTGGTTCTCACACTTTCTGGTCTCAGGACTCCCTTTATGCCCCTCAAAATTATTGAGGACCCCAAAGAACTTTCGTTTATGAGAGTTATAGCTATCAACATGACTATCAGAAATTAAACCAGGGAAATTTAAAAAACATTCATTCATTAAAAAAATAAATCCACTATGTCAAAATAACATAAATGTATAAAAAATAACTAATTTTTCATAATAATGAATATTAGTTCATAAAATAACTCATAGTAAATAAAAGTATTTCCCAAAACAAATACAAGTTCAGTGAGCAGCGGCACTGTTTCACATTTTTGCAAATCCCCTTACTGTCCGGCTTAATAAAAAACAGCTGGCTTCTTATACCTGCTTCTACGTTCAGAATGTTGGTTTGGTGGAAATACATGAAGGAAACTATTTTCAGCAGACATGCAGGCGGAAAGGGAGGAGTACTTAATAGCCCCTTCAGGTGACCGTGGGCCTCTCTGGCAGCACCCACACACCGGGCAAGGGGTAGTTCACTAAGGGCTAGCGACTCGGTGGAAATCTCCAATCTTATCAATGAGGGGTCGCTACCCTAGTGGTGTGTCTTGCACTTTGAAAGGCTCTGCGGCCCACGGATGATTCTGTGACACCACGCGTGGTCACTGGTGCACCGCGTCATGCGGGTGTGCCAGTGTGGGCTCATGTCACCACGTGCAGTAGAGGCCCACTGCGTTTGTATCGACACCAGGAAAGCCTGGGCACCGGGAAGCTCAAGCCTGCCCTGGCAGATACTAGTTTTCCAAGATTCAAAATTTTGCCCGAAATCTCAATTTTACCCTTGACAACAAGCAGTGCCAGTACTTCTCCTTCAAGTGACATTCTCATTTTGTTTATTCTCTGAGGAAATGCTTGCTCAACAGTCCAGTCTGAATAACCTGCTTGTCAGTCACTGTTCAGGTAAGAGTGGTGCTCCGTGAAAAAAGTGGCTACGCTGTTCACCTGGTTTTGCTATCAGTGTTTGGACTACAAGAAAAATGCCAATGGCTGAAAACAGTTTAATTAGATAATTTAATTGAAAAAAACAGATAGCTGGTTATATTTTTTAAAATGGCGGCAATTAAGAGATAAGGAGGTTATATGATTTAGGCCTGAGCATCTAGCAGCCGGGCGGAGCTTCCCCTGGGTTTTGCTCCTTCTCACCCTCATCTTCCTGAACCTAAGTTCTGTAATCTGGCTGATGACCTGTGCCGTTCTGTTAACTTCCAGGACTAAAGTCTATGAAGCATAGAAACAGACGGCACCCAGGAAGCTCCGCGTCGTTAGTTAAGAGGGAGATGCAGATCAGAGCCACAGAGAGATGCCACCTCGCACCCCCTAGGATGGCTGTTGTCAGACAGACAGACAGACAGACAGTAACAAGTGCTGAAGAAGAGGCACTGCTGGCGGGAGCGTGAGGTGTGCAGCCTCCTTGGAGAACAGGCTGGCGGCTCCTCCAAATGCGGTGCGCACAGTGTGGATGCGCGGCTGAGCAGTTGCGCTCCCAGGCAGACACTCAAGAGAAACGGGGATACGCACAGAAGCTCATCTGTGAGCGCGCACCACCAGGGAGCAGACAACCTGCACCTCCACCAGTGGACGAGAGGATAAACGTGGTGTCTATTCATATAGCAGAACATTCTTTAGCAATAAAAAATCCTGACACGTGCTGCAAAACGGATGGAACTTGACAACATTCTGCTAAGTGAGAGAAGGTCACACGTGGTATAATTCCATTTCTGTGAGACAGGCCAGGCAAGTCTACAGGCAGAACACGGATGAGTGGTCACCAGGGGCTGGCGGCCCTGGTTCTGGGTAGGGGATTTCTTTCAGGGGCGACAGTGTTAGGAAGACAGACGTGATGACGGCTGCACAGTCCTGTGAATGTATTAACCATAACTGAACCGCACATTTTAAAAGGGCAGATTGTATGATATGTGCGTTCTCCCTCAATAAATGTGTTAAAAAACATATAGCAGCCCAGTCTGAAAGGCAACGTATGAAAGAAGTAGAGTGGAGGGTACAGCTCAGTGGTTGAGTGCATGCTGTGCTTTTAGCACACATGAGGTCATGGGTTCGATCCCCAGTACCTCCACTAAATAAAAATAAATACACAGACCTAATTAACCACCCCAAAACAAAACAAATTACATTTGAAAGAAGTAAATATAAAGAGCATACCATCTGTAGCGCTTTGGATTCTTCAAAGTAAGCGGAAATGTCTTTAAAAATACTACGACAAAACACAACCACACACCCACACATGCATGCGCGCGCACACACACACACACACCAGCCCTTCAAGCGAGTGGTCGCGTGTGGCCTCGGTGGTAGGCGCACCAGGGACATCTGGATGGAACCGCAAAGGGCCCACATCTCCACCTGCCCCGCTGGGTCCAGTCCTCACACTGGCGGCCGGAACTCTGCACCCACTCTCCACTTTGGAGACGGTCAGAAACCACCGCCAAGTACCATCACCACCACACTCTTTCTTCTTCATTATACCTCTCATCAAAGCCCTCTGTCTATAAAACAAAACAATAGCAAATAAAACATAAAACAAAAATCCTGTCTGCCCCCTACCCCTCATCTAAACTTGAGGTAAAGGGGGAGGCCGTGCCCTCCAGCACCCGCTGCCGCGGAGCAGAGGACGGAGCGCACTGTCCCTGCGCTCTCAGTGCCGCGCACGGAGCTGCGCGGGACAACCGAACTCATCTCGCGCCGGACGTCTCTCCGCGCCTCCTTCCCCCACGTGGGCACACGGCAGGCCTGCACCTCTACCCGCCTCCCGTTTCAGCCTCCTTCACGCATCACCGTAACCCAGAACGACGCATTCCTGGTGGGAGCTTTGGCAGGGCGGGGGTCCTGTTCACACACTCCATTTCCTCGCCTAAAAAGTGCTCAGAGGACGCACAGTGCGGTCTGCTGCGAGCTTCACAGGAAAGAAGCCCAGTAGTCGGAAGACGGGTTGAATTTCCAGAACAAAGCTAAGACGGCGGGAGGAGAACGCAATTACCACACGGTTTTAACAGGGAAATGAGAAGTTACGATTATTTAACCTAAAACGTCTCAAGGGCGGTAGGTTTCCTAAGTGGCTCTGGTGACGCGCACCGTCTCTGCGAAGCACAGGAGAGGCTGGCTCAGCGGCAGGTGCTCGATCCAAACCCAGACAGCCCAGGTCTCTGCTCTCTGCGGCCCCTCCCTCCCAGGTTAGCAGGGACTCGGGGACTTCGGCAGCCAAGCCTCCTTCGAAGCAGAAAGACCTTCCACAAGTGTGACTTAATATAGAGTAATTTATGTGTCTGTAAAGTTAATAGATAATATATTAATAAGCTGAATTCAAAAATAGGATGTATTTAATATGTAATAAAGAAACATTTAAAGTCAATGGGGAAAATGGAATATTCAACACATGATATAGGGGCTAACGACTTCTCAATTTCAGAAGACAATAAAGTTATATCCCTGCCCTGTGGATTGCAGGAGGGCTACAAAGTGGACTGTGAGCAACAGCATTACGGGAATGTTAGGAGAAAATGTGAGAGATTTTTCTTTGCGATTCTGGGGTTTGGGAGGCCTTCTGGAATAACTGAGAGTTGAAATTAAGGAAAGAAAAAAAGATACGTCCCAATTTTCCTGGGACTGAATGGGGAGGTTTTAGAACGTTCACTGCCCAGCACACGCCTGTGACTGTTCCTCAGGGGGACTCGGGGGGGGCCCTCAGGGCCCTCACAGCCCCCGTCTGCTGTTCCAGAGTCAGCGATAACCAAGTCCATCTCAACCTCTGGTGCAACAGGCTGTGGACTAACAAAATTAACACGACTTTCACTTCTTTTTCCAAAGTAAACATACTAAGGGAAGAAATAAACATATTTTAGGTCAACAAGTCTAGTCAATTCTGAAATATGAGTTTTGGGGAAAAAATCAAGAACCTGAGATCAATGGAAACCAAGGTTTACCTTCCTGTCTGAGGCGACAAGGGCTGCCTGACGACAGGGGGATTCGTTTCAAAAGCAGATAAAACACCAGCTATTCAAACGACAGGAAACTGGAGCTCAGGGTCAAACAGTAAAACTTCTAGTGATGGCATCACGTGAAACGTTTCCAGGTGGGACTGACTGGGGTCACGTGGGACCTGCACCGGATGGGACACAGACCGTGAAGGGTGAGCCTGAAGAAGACAGAGACCTGGGGGCTGAAGGGAAGCAGCTGTGAACTGCCTGCAGGATAACGGGGTCGGTGCCCCCGCCAACTGGGGTGGCCTGTCCTGACACCAGCGTGGTCCCACCACTGTTTTGACTCCTCCTTATCATTAGAATCTCCCCTTACATGCATGAACAGCATGTTTACTTCTAAATTACGTATGGGCACTACTACATTAATGGTATACATCTTAAACAAATTTAAAGAACAAATGAAAATTCTAACACTTCCACCCCACAGAGGAGTTGTGCAGATTAAACGAACTAACACACGTGGGGCACTCTGGTCCCTGGAAGGCACTGACTTCCCTCACTGGTATTACCCCTGTAAGCCAGGACATGTTACAGAGATTTGCGTTCTGTAAGGTGCAACTACAAACGTCTGAACAGGAGGATTTTTTTTGTGGCAAGTGTCAGGCTCAAATGTCTCAGCGACGCTAAGAACACCAGAGTCCCGCCTGGAAGTCAGGGCTGAACGCGCGGGCCGGACCGCAACCACTCACCATGTGGACCACTTCTGGGTAAACAGGCTCTGTGATGACATTCCGGTTGTGGGTGATGTATTCCACCATTTCACTTAAAGCAGCTCGTTTCACTTCCTTCCACTTTAGGTCACTTAGTGGATCGGAAACAAAGTCAAAGAGGACACAACACTGACGTAGCTTCTGGATAAAAAGCTTCTCTTGATCAGCAGGAGGAACATCTGAAGAGGAGAAAGCAAAGTATATTGACTGCGAAAATGCTTAACCCAGAATTACTGTGGGACATGTGTAGACTTCTACTACTTTTATTTCAAATTAATGGAGATTCAAGAAACAAGAAAAAGGGTAGGAGTGAACAGAGGTTTAATCATTTGTTAAAGAAAACGAAAGGAAAAAAAACAGTCGCTGCTCAGATCATATGCTTCATATGATAAAGTTTCTATACTTTTTAACTCTCCAAAGCCACGTCGAGAGTACTGTTCCAAACAAACCCCTTCTAAGTGCACTCATTCAACAAACACATCTGAGCACCAGCGATCACGCGCCGGCACTGCGCTGGGAGTGAACAGGAGGCAGAGCACGGCCCAGCGCGGGGTGAGGGGCAGGGACAGGCACCGCGTGACAGCTGCGGCCAGAGGCACAGGCGAGGTCAGGGGAGGGCACGGGAAGGACCTTCGCTCCAGTCTGCTGCTGCTCTAAGTCGTCAGGGGAGGACACGGTGGCCGTGCCCGGCTGGCTGGCAAGCAGAAAGTGGCACCAGCCTGTGTGCTGTCATCCACGCACCGTGCAGGTCTCCACGTGGTCCTCCACGAAGCACATTTCATCTCTCACTCTGGGCTACAGTCAACACACGGGATGACAACAATAAAGAAAAGTGCAAACAGGGACCAAGCTCAGTGTGATTCAGGGAGTGCTCGCCTGGGCCAGGTACTGTGCTAAAAGCCTTACGTGTATTTACACAGACTTCTCGTGTCATCTTCACAATGACACATCAGGGACAAGACAGGCTAGAGGTTCAGTGTGGGGCCAGAAAGTGGTGGAGTTCTGGATGACTCTCCAGAACTCTGGGGAGTTTGAAAGCCTCCCTCTGCCAGGGTGAGCTTGACAGCTTTGCTGGGTGAGGAGGGGATCAGTGGTGATATCGAGGATTGGGCTTTACTCACACGTTGACTGAAACGTGTCCAAGATCTGTAAAATGCTTCAGGAGATTTGCATAACTCAGTGAACCAGTATTTTCCATGTGATCAACAAATGGTGTCACAGTATCAGTCGAAGGCAAAAGAGCCACTCAGAGCGCCAGACCGTGCACTGGACGGTAACGCTGTAACACGTACACGCGGCTTGATGGCATGGTTTCCGACTCTACCTTAAAGGTTTCTTCAGGAAACTTCTCATCTGTCAAGCTTTGGTGTAATGCCAAGCGAGATGTCCACAACTACCTGGAAAGCCTGTAAAAACACTCCTCTTTCCCCCAAGCACGTGTCGCCTACACGTCAGCCCAGCAGCTGGCAGCACACGGAACGCAGAGGCAGACGGGAACGCCGGTCTCCTGCTAAGCCAGATGCGAAAGAGACTTGCAGAACTATGAAACAACGCCACCCTCTTACTACATTTTTGTTTTAGAAAATATGACTTTTATAAAAAATGTGTTATGTCTGTTAACATGTAATAGGTTTATTATTTTTAATGAATTAATAAACACATTTTTCTGGTTTAGTTTTGAATGTGGACAATACTGGTGGCCAAACCCATATAAGCAAAAGCTCTCCAGGTCCCACATCATTTCTAGGGGTGTGAAGGGGCCTGGAGCCAAAGTGTCTGAGCCCCTGCCCTGCATCACCGGCACCGCAGCCCCTGGCTCCCCTGCTTCCACCGGCCTCTCTCCACACCGGGGCCCGCCCGCCCGCGCACTCCTCCTCCCTGGCCCCCTGCCTCTGTGGGGGCTCTAGCTCAGGCCCCTCACATCGTGGCCAGATAGGGCCAGCCCTGGTGGTTGGTTAGTGCTCCTTCTGCCTCGAACAGTTAGCTCCCTTGCTGAGCATTTCTTCCTCAACTAGCTGCTTTCTGGGGGCAGGTGCCAGGAGATGGTTTTCTGGTTCTCTGTGTCCTCTGACGCCGAGGGGTGAGCCCTGCAAACAGCAGGCACTGAGCACAGCACCCAAATGGCCCATTTCCTGGGAAGGTGTCTGGTTCCGTAAGGCGTGCAGAGGTCAGCGGAGCACAGTTGGGCCACAGGATGGACTTGCTGTTTGGAGGGGACTCGGGACCACAGGGACCGAGATGCGGTCCACAGACATTCTGTGTCCTTGGAGACTGCCCAGTTACTTAAATGGATAGTAGGTACTACAATATTTGGGCCCCTTTACATTCAAATATCCAGCCTTTTTTGATGAAGAGCTTTTATTTTCTGAATTACCTCCTTGCTTGACTTCAGTCCTCACTCAATTCTACACCTTTGCTCACCCTCCACTTTGCCAGGATCACCTTAAATGAGTGGGTCGTGTAGTCACAGCTTGTGTATCTGGAACCTTTTGGCATTCTCATGTTCTTGGTGCTGCAGAGACCCGAGAAGCCCGCGTTTACCCCTAAGAGCCTAGATATGACCTACTATGATTAAGAAGGAAGAGCACAGTAAAATCCCCTTTTCCCATAAAATTTCAACCTAAAATTCTTCTAAAAGGCAAGAAGATCTCACCTTTCCAGAAATTATGTCAATTCTGCCAGAGTTCCAGACAGTTCGGCCCTTACCGTACTATTTTTGTTTATAGTTTATAAAAAAGTTTGAGAGTATAGACTCATGGACTCTCTTAAAAATTTTTTTTAAAACCTCACTTGGCTATTTTTACAATTTCACTGTTTTTTGTTTTTAATCTGGTGCACCAGTCAAATTGAGTAAATAGTAAAAATATTGCATCCACAGCCCCGATCAAACATTTCCATGTTTTTTGAATGCAAGTTAGTTTAGCTTCTTATTGGTCAGCACATTCAAAATGTCTTCATCTTCTGCTGCGTTGGGACTGCTGACTGGAGGATAAAAATGGGTGGGGGGTGGAAGACTATGCTTCACACCTCACGCATTCTGACTTTTTAACAGTGTGAGTTACGTCTGTTAGTCTTTAAAAACTACGAAGTCAGCATTGCTAATCCTTTCAGGAGAAAAAAGGTCCCACAGAACACAGCCCGTGCCTGACTTGATTTCTCTGATCATCACCCAATGGGAGCCAAATGTTAAAGTCCGACCAGGACTGATGCTGGTGTATTACGCTTCAGCACTCAGCGTTCAGGCTCGCCGGGCTCTTAAGTGATCAGTCACGACTCTGAACTCGACCCAAATCTTACAGTTACTTCTATGAAGCAGAATAAAAGCAGAAGAAGAATGGATTTTGAATTCTGCCCATGAATAACAGTGGCTGACTTTAATTTTAAATTATGTACAGACTAGTAACACTTGTTTCAGGACGTACTAATGAGCAGTCTTGAGCCCAACAGAGAGTATCAACTAAACGGCATGACATGAGGCAACACCCTGCAGCCTGCTGGTGCTGCCGGGACCCCCCGTGAGCCCCTCGTTAACTAGAAAGGGGTGTGAAGAGGACAGCCGCCCAGTACAAGTCCCTGGACACCACCAAAACGCCCAACCCTGCTGAAACTGCTGGCTTAAGAGACAGAGGGACACGAAAGAGGCAGTCACAGGTTTGGCTGGAGAAAACTCTTAGTGTTATTACTGCTTCCTTTTGATATTTTTTAAGGGCTATCACATTCTTCCACACATACAGTATCGTAAGCATCTCACGTCTGTGTATCTTTTCGCCCCCTCCTCCCCAGCAAGTATTTTCACCGATGCGTCATTGTGAACTTGGGATACTTCCCAACTATTTCAAGGTAAGCCCCTGATGATACCAGAAGCTAATTGTATGGACTCACTTGTGCAAAACCTGCAGGGGCGAGGGGCAGAGAGAAGACCCTACCCCATGGATCTGGAGATGAGAATCCATCACTCTTCTGAAAGCACATTTCCTACAGAGAAGCCTGTCATTAGCTCATGACAAGTAGGGATGCCTAAGGAAGGCCACCGTCAGAGTGGGCGGGGGCCCTGTTTCTGGCTTGGTGAGTCTTCCTGGTCCCACAGTGACGGAGGGCAGTGTTTTTACTCCAGTGGCCCCAGAGCAAGCTATGGGGGGGTACCTTCCACTAACCCCAGCCTCCAAAGTGAGGCTGAGCCCTGGGGGCACCCAAGGTGATAGCAATACAACCTTTACTTGCATTTCCTCCCACAAAGAATAAAGAAGTAAGATGCACTGATATTGAAAACAGGGGCTGACACGCACTGGAGGCGTGTACTTGCTCTCCCACTGGGCAAGTGCGGTCAAGGGTCTGGAGGCCCCTGCCTGGCAGGGAGGGCCTGCGGCCGTCCTTGGAGAGCCCCGAGCCACTGACCGCAGCACAGCCAGCCTCATAGGTGGCTCCGGCACACGCCCCTCAGTTACAGGAGGGCCAGATAAACTGTAACCACCGAGCCACCGGCTAGGACACGAGGCTGAACCACTCAGCTGTCACTGTGTGCGAACAGGCAGCATGTGAATTCTGTGTGTGGGAAAAAATATTATTAAAGGGAAAAAAAAAGCCAAGCCCACTTCTACGTGATAATCTTGGCGGTGAAGAAACACTCCAAGACACAAAGAGGACCAGCTTCCATGGCAGTGGCAGACAGATGACGGAACCAGGCCTTTCTGGTACGTTGATGATGGCTTTTTCCAAGTAAACTCAACCCCAAGGAAACAGAGGCAGAGCTGCACAGACTGCAGGCCTGGAGACGGTCACTGCAAGGAAGGACCCCCAAGGCACAGCCACGAGGGTGGGGGTGCTTTGAGGTCACTCACGGAACACCCACCCAGCAGCTCATACAGCAGCCTGATGCTCAGAGACCCTGGTGCACCCTGACGGCCCAGCGGGTGGCACCCGGCGCCTGTGATCATGGCTGGGCCTGCGCCCCCCAGACAGAGATGCCCTACCCAGAATGGAAACCAGTGACTCTCCCCCAGAACGGG